TGGACTAACTGTAATGAATAATGGCATCAGGTTATCCAATAAATAGCTCAACAAAATCCGCAAAATGTATTACATTTTAATAGCGGCTCTGATATAGGATATCAATAAACAGCTAACCCGCTGGCTGAACAGAATTTTCCTCGGCTTTATTGAATTCGGTTGAAAGATGAGTGCATTTTGCACTTAATTAAAATTATGATTGAAAAAAATGGCAGCTTATCCATTTCATTGCGTCGGAATTTTCAATTTCATTTTATTCGCTAACAGAATTTCTCTGTATATATTTATAGTCCAGTCTGAGCTGAAGAGAAAGATACGGGTAGCGACTTCCTCAGTAACGGAAGACCGAAGGTTATCACAGCCTGAAGATACAGTACGTAATTCGATGCAATTTGAAGGTACTTGCTAATTATTCTTCACAAAGGCTTCATGGTTTCTGAGACAGAATAACGCATAACAGGCACTCTAATGCACATATGTTTCAACAGATGCTTGCCAAAAAATCATTGGTGCGGCTTGTCGGAGTTCAGATACCCGAGAATCTAGCACAAACGGAGTTCGTCTATCACAGCAATTACTGGGAAAAGATAGGATATACATATGTTTAAAGCTAGGAAGTTCTGTTTGCCATCTAACTTCCTGCCTCTCTACAAGTGCCAGACAAGACCCGTCTTGGGAATACTATTCACATGCTTTGGATGCCTGCTGCCTTTCAATCTGCACTATCCATACTTAAGCTGGTCAGGAAAGGATAATAAAACTGATCAGTGGTACTTCCTTAACAGAGGGTTTAGGCTTTTCGCATCGAGGGGCCTTCGGTGATTTATGACCGCTATGCCAAAAGATTTTGCTCTTTTATGTTTCACTGCATGATACCGCCGCAATATGGTTATTTACTTTCAGAGCATCTGGAATCACCACCACTTTTTGATGTACTAGTTCATATTGCACCCAATTTTCAGTACTACCAAAAGCAGGATCATCTCTCCAACGATATGTCACATTCACTATTGATGATCTTTTTATACAAATATACTGGACTATGAATGCTTCTTGTCTACTGCCTCATTTTATTGATTGAAATGTCGCAGTCAGCACATTAGCGTAGAAATGAGAATCTAGGGTATACTTAACCTTTCGAAAATGTATTAGACTTTCGATGACGTCGGTAAGGAGAGTTGCCGAAAATTGGAATGAGTTTCCCAAATAACTTTACTTAACTACAATAATAACTTACTTCTTTGCTACTTGGTATGATGTATTGTGTTCTTGATGGAACTCTAAAGCCAGCCATACACGGTAGGAAGCACTTGATATGTTAACACCTGAACCGTGCAGGCAAACCTCGACGTGTATGTTGCATAACATTGTAGGTTTTCATGCCTGTGCAGGTGACATGAGAAAATATGAGTTTTTCATATTTTTAATTTTTACCTGTGGGTGCTCTGTGCAATTAGCACCTAAAGTGAACGTGTGTAGCACTTGCCTATCGCCTTCGTATATTTCCAAAGACACTGTCTCATTGTATAATGAATCTTTCTCAAACCCAAAATCAATATTTGATATTTCGAAATTTGAAACCTAATCTCATCTTAAGGATTATGGTACTATCACTGCTTTATGTCGTTTTTGAATCTGATTCCATTCGATTTGCTGGTGCTGGTACTTGAAGCTGTTCTTCGACTTAATCAAAACGCTCGTGTCCTCAAAAATTTGTCGGTGAGGTTTTGCATACCAATACAACAGTACCGTTTTTCGAGTGCAAACATAATTTATTTTCATAGCATCAAAATTTGAACGGATACAAAGTCCGTTAGAGATAGTTCAGTCCTGTCGAACTAATTGAGCCATTCCTAGGTCTGTAAATTAGGTGATGCCACTGGCAACGTAGCGTTCGATCTGGCGACACTGGATTTCCCGAACATGGATGGGAGAGACGAGAATATGTGATCCGCCTTGAGTGCAAGTTTGAACTTGCTCGAAACAGTTTTTTCTGTTTTGTACTAACAAGTTTTGCTTCAGACTTATGCGCAGTGCAACAGAAAGTCATGCTAAGCTTCAGCAGACCTAGGAGACAGTGTTTCGTCAAGAGACCAGGTTTTTCGGTGGTTTAAGACATTTTCAGAAGGGAGATAGTCGATTGAAGATAAACCACGAAGCGGAAGGCCTTCATCTTCAAGAACTAATGAATATATCGACAGAATCCGAGATCTTCAGAATGATCTGGGAAGAGTTAAATTTGACTCACACCACTGTTCATCAGATCAGACAACAATGTCATTAAATGAATTTTCAGACAGTAAAAATATTCCTGTAGCTCCTCAGCCTCCTTATTCACCTGACTTTTTCTCTTCCCGAAGTCAAAAAATCACCTCGAGGGAACTCATTTTGGGACAGTCGAAAATATCCCAGCGTCTATAACGGACCAGCTATTTCAGTATCGTAGTTTCAGTACTGCTATGAAGAGTGGAAGCACCTCACAGTGATTCCTCGATACGCCAAAAATCCCAAAACTCACGAGATTATAACAGCTTCTCGAGTCTAATTACCGAGACGTGTAAGTCATTGCAAGTTACTTACTTTTCTTTGTGGATTGTAATTTCAAGCCTACTGTTTTCACGTAGTGATAATATGGAGGTGCAAGAATGTGGTGTAAAGACATGCGTTTTGGAGTTTTAAATAAATCTTTTATTGAAAGTTGTTTTTGCTAGATTTTTTCCTACAAAATTAATTCATTTGGAGTTATAATAAAACTTTTGGCTGCGCCCTGCTGCAGCTGAAATAAATATTATCTTGAAGCGGAGAATGTCGAGATTAGGGGCATATAGGTTTCATTTGCATCTTGTTGCCCCTTTTTAGGTTTGTGGGGTGACGTTCATAGAACAGGAAAAAGAGATTGAAGCGAAGCTGAAGCGACTAACAAACACATTTAATCATTTCGACGAGATCATGAGAAAATGAGCCGCGTTTTGACCAATACTGATTTAATTAATAGGCTTTTTCTTCATTCGGATCCCCTGATTTCGGGTTTACGAATGTTACCTGTTAAAGAAACATATATTATCAAAATCTTTGTTGGATTTGTTAATTGTTTCCATTATAACGTATTATAAGTATTAGAGTTTATATTTTTGTTCAATATTTTGTTTGCCCTTATTATGAACTGTTTTATTTTATTTCTTTAATATAAGGTTGATCTAAAACAATATCTAAAACAAAAACAATGTGAAACATTTTTAGTACATACTTAGTAGGTTATTTTGTCTAGAAAAGAATTTTATAAATTGCATTTTCATGTTTGCACAACTGTATTTTAAGGTTTAAAATGCAATAAAAAGGTTAAATCTAAGTTGTGCATTTATGGCCGCCCTAGTATGGAAGGAGAATCACTGTGCACCGTCGCCGGTGCTGTGTGGCTTCAGAAGGAAATTATTTTGAGGGTGACAATATAAAATTGTAATTATGTCTTGATACAAAAATTTAAAATCACGCTCATCACTTAATTTACAGACCTCGTTATTTGCTTTGAGAAACTAGTCGATAGAGTGAGTCTTAAGAACACCTTTACGTTCGTTACAATTCCTACCTCACTGCTGCACACCTCTAGCAAAACAATGCGACAATTCATGGCAACACGTCCCTTCATTCTCATATTTCAATATTCCGATTCCCGGTTGTATATTTATAATTTATACCTAAAATATTTTAACAGGAGCGAAGCATAAATTGTAAACGTGGGCATCGCTGAAAAGTGTCAACCTCATTTTTTATTAAAGCGGGCTAAAACGCCGGGAGATTTGCATTTCAGATATGGTCGCAAAACGATCTATAATGCATCCTCGGTAATGGAGATCTCCGGTAAACGTCATTCAAACAATTAGAGACACCTCGCTGGAGCTGCTGAAATTCTCCATATTTAAATTGTTGGAATAACACCGGAATTCACTCAGTGCGCTTGGTCGATTCAACACTGACAGTTTAGTGTTCGAGGTTATCTGACTGTTTATGAAAGGGTCAGTTTAGTCATACCAAATAGATATATAGTGTTGTATTTAAGAGCTACATAATTTGCCTCCTTTACAAAATGATGAAGGGTGTCGAGATTGTGGAACAATCTACAAGAGGAGGCTTTTTCCAGTTCTACTAACCTTAGGCAGTTCAGAAATCGGATTAACAAAGTTTCTTTGGGATCCTGCTAGCAGCCACAGTGTCCTGGCATTTAGGCTTCTGCCTGCGTGGCTGCTTAGGTTTACAAAAAAGGATGAATCGAGTCATCACGAAGCTTCACAACTATTTAACGTTAACTTTTTAAACCCTACGTTATTAAACTAAGTGTGCAGTATGTCTTAACACTATTATCCTCTGCGTTTACTAAATATTTGTATCAAGTTAGATTAGGTATGACTAGCAGGCAATTTTGGACATCGGTATTAATGGCTGATCAATGATGGGAGCGCCAAACGGATGATAAACATTACTATATTCGCAGCAATAAAACACTTAAAATACAATCATGGCAAAACAACAATTGTTAAAACTTGGAACCTACAGTTGACATCAGTCTTTGCTTCTTTAATCTGAGCAGTAGATTAAAAAGGATTTGTTATCATCGCGTTTCGTGTTCAACAATGAGATCAAATGTTTTCCGCAGATCGCATGCGAAATCCATCGAATCCCTTGCTAATTTTTATACTAAAGTAACTCTACACTTCACCTACATCGGACGCTGTTTGACGGACATTAAGGTTATCTTCCGGTTGACGATGTTAAAGTGCGCTTGCATTGAATTTCTATCATCACTGACCGGACTACATGAGTATTAATATTACGAGGGATGTCTTTTAAGTTTTGCATATAGAAACATTATAGGCCGCGCGGATCGAAAGTCAGTACTGAATCTCAACCTCACTCTTTAGTAAACTTAAATTCAAAGCTTCACAACAATACATGCAGTGTTCTCACTACAGTGAATTTTTAAGTATCACCAAGTCATTAGAAAAATGGAACTCAACCGAGAACATTTTCGCGCCATAATTTATTACAACTTTCAGATACAATTATCGCAACAAGAATGTCTTGCTGAGTTACTGTCTGTTTTCGGAAACGAAGCGCCACATCAGTCGACAATTTCCCGTTGGTATGGAGAATTCAAACGTGGACGGGTGATTCTTAGCGACGATCCCAGGGTGGGTGCACCAAAATCGGCAGTCAGCCAGGAAAACGTCGATGCTGTGCGCAAACTCATCATTGAAGATAGACATGTGACATATCACGAGATTGAGGTGTCCTTGAAGACCTCAAAGACCTCAATTCAAAAAATTTTGCATGAAGAATTAGGAGTAAGAAAATTAGTTTCTCGTTGGACACTCCACCTGTTGACTGAAGAGCAGAAAGCAGCCAGAGTTAATTGGTGTCAAAAAACGCTTGACCGTTTCAATACCGGAAACTCAAAAAATGTGTACAGCATTGTTAGTGGTGATCAATCGTGGATTTACTGTTATGAATCAGAAAATAAACGAAAGTCGGCTGTTTAGGTGTTCCAAGGTGAAGAAAAGCCAACAAAAGTCATCCGTTCTTGAAGTGTTTCGGAAAAGATGGTCGCGACAATTGTGACAAAAGCGGGTCATATTGCAACAATTCCTCATAATGAGCAAAGAACTGTTACTGCGGATTGGTATACCACCATTTGTTTGCCAAAAGTCATCACCGAGCTTCGAAAAATCAACCCCGAAAGAAGAATCATCCTCCACCAAGATAATGCAAGCTCGCACACAGCCCAAAAAACAAGGCAGTATTTAACGGAAGAAAACGTGGAATTATTGGACCATCCTCCATATAGTCCCGATCGAAGTCCTAACAATTTCTTTACTTTCCCGAATATTAAAAACAGACTGCGTGGTCAAAGGTTCCAGTCACCAGAAGAAGCAGTTGACGCATTCAAAAAGGCCGTTTTGGATCTTCCAGCAGACGAGTGGAATAAGTGCTTCGAAAATTGGTTCGAACGCATGCAGATGTGTATTAATCTTCGTGGAGAATACTTCTAAAAACAATAAAGTCATTTAAAACTACCTACCGTGTTGTTTTATTTCCATATGCAAAACTTAAAAAACATCCCTCGTATTATGCATAATGCCCAACTTAGCTGGATATTATCATCACTAACCGCCTAATAACGTTGTTGCCCGATGTCTCGACTTCATTCGTCCACATCATAATGAATTTTCATTTGAAATATACTAGCCTAAATTTTGACAGGGTGTTGCAATAGCAGCTATTAGCACCTCACCTATTTTTTCTAACTGCAACATTCATGGTCCAATTTCTTCGATTTTCTGCCAACTTCTATATTTAAATGTCATGGGAAATTGTCATTTTCTCCAGGTAATTATGAAAAATAGGCAGTTTACATAATGGAACCATGCCAAATGGCCTATCTTATGATAATCCGCGACCCCAACCTGTTACGTTTACTTTTTGAAACAATGCAGTTCGTTATAAATGTGGTTATAAATAACTCAGTTTTGGATTAAAATCTCAAAACAAATACCAACGTATTACACGGGCTTCACATAATCGCTGTTTGCTATCAAGTAATCTTTGATATACAGTGTGTCCCAGATTCTCTTCTCCATACAGGGTTCTTGGCTCCGGTTATACTTACAGCAAAGGTTAAATAGAGGAAGTTTTAGAAGAAGCTTAGTACTTTCGATAGCTGGCTTCAGATTTATGATCAGTCAATTGGTTTTGGAAATATCGGCGAAAACACAAAAACATCGAAATCCGAAACGGTTAATTTGAAAGCTGCCAAAATATGACATTCTACTTTTTTTCCTGCAACCTGCCTCAACTTTCATTTTCCTTATGGCCGCCATATTGGATTTTTCGATTTTTGAACATAGCCAAAAATGTCCAGCCTAGTGATGTCTCAGAAGTGCATAAATTTTTTTTCTAAGGAGGCTCTCACTTTGTCGTTAAATAATTCAAGGTATTAAAATTGTGTTTTAATAAGTAGTAGCTACATTTTCTCTCATTAAAGTCATAAATCTGACAAAAAAAAATTGTCAAAACCTGTTGAAAATGGCCGATATCCCCTACTCAAATGAAGAAAAGTTTAACATGTTAGCGCTGTAATTGCAGACTCACAGAAACGCCGACATTACCTGAGCAAGGTACACTTGGAGATGTACCTCGAACGACCTCAGCTTTACGAGCTAGTCTAACCGAAGATGAGTTTAGAAGAACCTGGTTACAACAGGATGGATATCCGGCTCACATCATTCGAGTCAAGCAGTTTGATGAAAGAATAATTTCACTAAAATTTTCCTCCTAGATCGCCTGACCTTTGGGGTCACACAAAGAAATCCTGAGACAAAGAATTTTTAGCACAGTCAGAAACATTAACAGAGATACACTAGCTAAGGTTGTTCGAAAAATAGTCACCAATGGTCAAAAATGTCTGGATGCAAATGGACGTTATTTTGCAAATCTGTAAATTAATACCCACATAATTAGATTTTACATTACATTACAATTCTGTAAAATGTCTATTTGTTCAAGTGTAAAATAAACTTACCACGATTTTTCTGACTTGTTTTTTTAACACACTCATAGTTGGGAATTTGTCCCAAAACATTTGACTTGTTAAGAAGTCGATATTCACGTTAATATTCTCTTGAAAATTCAAAGCGTTTATATGTTTTCTTATGCCTTACTGATTAATGTGATTTTCTGACAAATAAATCATGGCCTCCCTAGGAAAAAACATAACATTACTTGTGATGATATTTCGGTGACACTCCAATCTTTCATGCACTTGTGAGACATCACTAGACTGGACATTTCATACTCTTTTCAAAAATAAAATAATCCAATATGGCGGCCATTATAAAAATGGAAGTTGAGGCGGATTGCTGGAAAACAAAAGACGATTGAAACATGTCATACATGATACCTTATTTTTCTCACAGCTGTCAAACTAACCATTTTGGATTTACTGGCAGGTTTTTCGCTGATATTTTCAAAATCAATTTCGGATCATCAATCTGACTGATCTGGCTATCGAAAGCACTAAGTTTCCTCTAAACCTTTCCCCATTTAACCTTTGTTGTAGGTATAACAGGAGCCGAGGAGCGTATAGAGGAGCGAATCTGGGGCACACTGTATATATGTTATTTTATATTGCAGCAACCGCGAAGACAGAGCCTGAATACTGTGACTGTTACAAAGAAGTTAAAGATATCATGTTGATTTTTGAGCTGCCAAAGATTAGTAGAACTATTCCAATTTTTTGATGTTAGTACATTTATACACTCCCAACCTCGATAGTTGTATAAGTAGTCCTATTAGACATATTTCATACATCATAAATTTCATTTTCCGTTGAAACAATGACAAGTTTTGGTATTACTGACGCGGAGCCACAGCTAACCGGCAAGGTTATTACGTAAAAAAACCTGTATAGTATCAAAAAAAAAATTATGAAATGTCAAACTGTTGACTAAATAGGCTAGTGTGCAAAAAGTGAGCATAACGTGAACGACCGCTAGCTCCAAGTTGACGTCTTATTTGAAAGCCTACATAGTTTCATAAAAAATCTACATAGCAAACCGACATAATGTCACTTTTCAATTTACATAATACCCGTACCGGTTAGATATCGGGGACATGTAACGTTACCAGATGGACTGTCGGTAGGGCAAGGAACGGATGTTTATCGACTAATTGTGTGGACCTGTTTGATTTACTTGTTTTATGTGTTTTCTCTGTTACACATGTTCGTAACTAACTTCTTTATCAGATGGCCTAACTCGGGCGGTACATAATCCTTTATGAACTGATGACGGTGTTGCGTGAGGAGTGCGGAGTCAACCTACTTGACGCCATTTTTTTTTTCATTTGCAGACTCCACTCTAACGGATAAAAGTTATCAGACAGGCAAAGTCCAGAAGTTTCATAAGAATTAAGGGAAGGGGGTGGATTGTCCTGTCCGTGAATACGTAAAAACCGCGCCTTGAACCTAACAAGAGAATAAAAAGTGTTTCAAGTATAATTACAATTCGTTCTCTATTATTTTGCAGGTGCGGACGTTATTTGTCAGCGGTCTACCAATGGACGCCAAGCCTAGGGAATTGTATTTATTATTTCGAGCTTACGAGGTAAGAGCAACACTCAGAATGTTCCGTTATATAGTTCAGGAGACATAATCTAAAGTACAACTCAAATTCACAATCTAAAAATGTTTAGAGCTTAGTAGCCAGTTGGAGTGTCACATGATGGTGTCCATGGAAAAAGCAAACTCCTTTAGAGCACTAAAGAGGGGCTAGCCCAATACATATTGCTAATTTTGTAATGTACTTCATATTATTGGCATAAGGCTACATTTTTGTAAGCCTGATATTTTTGCTGAGTTTATATACTATGAGTTTTTTTGGAGAAAAACTGTCTTGTTTTAGTACAGTTTTATCACCTTCAATACTATATCAAATGTACTGGTTCCGCCATTTTGAAAATATAGTAATTCTGATATCAAATTCGTAATTAGCGACCCACAAAACCCAAGGAAATACAAATGTTTAAATCACTTTTTCCTATTCTAGGGATTAGTAAATTGTATGCAAGATAAATATATACCTTATATTCTGTGAAATCCTAGGTGTTTTATGAAGCGACCGAAAGCTTAACAGGTCATACCTAGCTGGGTTACCTGTGGTATTCTAAATTTACTGTAGTATATTTATCCCTTTCCCCATTACCGCTAATGATAGTGTTGTGTCTCTCACAGGGTTACGAGGGGTCTCTTCTGAAAGTAACGAGCAAAAACGGGAAAACAGCCTCGGTAAGTACATCCTACATTTGTATTTTAATCAGAACGACATTAAAACCAAAAAGTTTTACGACTTGGGAAACAGTTGCCAGTTGTAAGACACGTATTATTTTTTGCGTATCCTTTTGTGTCATTTTTTATGCATTATCACTTAGAACATAGACATAGTGGAAGAACAACGTTCAATTTTTCGCTTATCTACCTACCTTTAGAATGTTGGCATCATGCATCTAGCAAATGAGATCAGTGATAACCACTATCCAAATCACATAGTCGAACTTCTAAAAGTTAAAGCCAAACAGTATGAACACTTGTAATTACATTCAACTTCACTCTTACATAATATAACCAACTATACGAAAGAGAGGCATATCTACTATATAATTTCTTGATCCTATAATGTGTTATTACTGATTCTACGCAACTCAAGCATCGTAGCGACTGTAAATGGCAACACTGGCTTGGTGCTACCTGTCCACTGATGTATTTTGGTAAAGCCTTGAATGTCGAGTCACGTGTAGAGCTCAAGCTAGATGGGCACAAGCTCAACAGTGTTGCCATTCTGTGATTATGATGCTTGTTAATAGCATAAAATTAAAGGAAATTGAATTTGTTTCAGCCGGTGGGGTTCGTTACATTTAATACAAGAGCAGGTGCAGAGGCGGCTAAACAAGATTTACAGGTGGGTACTCAATTTAACATCGACAATTAATATCAGATAGATAAAATCTTCATATTGAACTGAATGCTAACTCCCTTTCGGACATTCATAGTAAATTTTTCATGTGGTCTTCTTTTATCCCAAACATCTAAATATGTGTATAACTTGTCCCATTAGTTCACATCGCTGTAGGTATATCCGTTCGATAGAAATATTAAAAATGACAAACTTCCCGATTAGCATCAGATTGGAAATTCTGAAAACATTTTGCATGAGTAGATATCAATGAGATTTAATGTCCTGATGGGCCCACTCACGTTTCAATTTGCGCTAGTTCCGGTTACAGACCTCTTTAGTAAAAGCCCATATGATCCCGAGATGATTTAAGGTCTGAAATCGGCCAAATATGTGAGCATAGAACAGCCTTTCATCCTCATATCGCCTTTATGGCGGATCGAGGCAACCCCCATACTGTGGAGATAAAACTTATATTAAGAGCAGCGAACACCTACCAGGGAATTCAAAACAAGTTAATCTGTTGCTGAAAATATGTAAGATTGGCGATTTCAGCTGTTCTCTGTTCGAATTATTCTTAATACTAAAGCTACACAGTTCTACTACATTCCATACGGAACCAATTTTACCACGAATTTCACATATTTACAGCATCAAGCTAACTTAATTTTGAATCCTCATGGTTGAAGTTCTCCAACCTTGATATTAGAGTTATCGTTAAGATATTGTGACCGGTTAAGAGTGAGAAGAGTCCAATCAACAATCGCAAATTAGAAAACATTCTTTCCTGACGGTAGGACTCACAATTAGTTATCTTGTCTGTCGGATTTGCCATGAGATATTCATCCACTTCAGAGAATGACGATTTTAAATCCACAATTCCATTATAGCCCTAATACTGTTTGCAGCTTCCATTTGCCTATTTTTTCTGACATTTGCTATCCAGACACCCACATTTGTAAGACCTCAATGCTTCTCTGCTCCACCGCACCTCCAGTCCCAACGTTATCATACAAGCATTTTATTTTTTATTTCCATTGCTTTGATATTTATGCATGGTGATTTTAGGATTGGGGTTCAAGGCTCCCTACATAAACACTCATGGTCATCACCTCAATAGGATGGATGAAACAATTCAAATAAGTGGCAGCTCTGAATATTACTTTTCAATATTGTTTTCAAAATGGTGTTTCAAATTCGACCCTCACCATTGGGATCTCGGATCGCTTAAACGGGTACAAAGTTATGTATTTAGGTAAAACTAAAAGTATTTCCGGAGAGGCCCAAAAACCGAATTTTCCCAAAATCGTTTTAATTTTTTCCTATTTGTAGTGTGATTAAGTAAATTTCGCAGTAACATTGCCACTTTTTCTCCTCTACAAAATGGCATGATCAAAATTTTAATATGACGTTTCATCTCGATCTCCAGCATCAACTCTTTTTTTTCTTACGGACGCCATATTAGGTTTTTGCGAGGATGAGTTTTTATTTCTGATTTCAAAAATGTATAATATTGACAATTTCAAACCTCAGATATTCCAGAAAAACAGAAGTTCCTAGCTAGGCATTGAAAAGCATCATATTTCATTTGTTTCGTATATCAGAAATTGAACATTAGCAACAGTGAACAATGTACATAGATGCTTTGTCTACAAAATAGCAGACAATATTTTGAACATCTGCTATGATTTATCTCAGCTGATTCATGATTATTATTGTTATTACCGTCAATAAAATTTTCATTTTGTCTTCAGGTTTCACGATTCCTTTTTATATCCTTATAATTTTCAACAACAAATACATGGTCAACTAAGAAAATATATCACTGACTTTAGGACTAAAAAGCCCATTTAAATGTACAAAATTTCAATATAGCGTGAAAAAAGTACAGTTTGTGATGAAAGTCCAAAGAACAAATGTCGAATGGAAAATTTGACTACGCCATCTTGTAGAGGAGAATAAGTAACAACGATAACATGTAATTTATTTTTAAATCCCATATCAAATAGTCAGGAAAAAATAATAAAAGTTATTTTGGAATAAATCTAGTATGCGAAACAAATGACTATTTGACAAATTTTTTAAATAACTAAGATTTGGCAATGAGAATGTATAACGTATTATACATTTTTGAAATCAGAATGAAAAAATCCATCTGTGCAAAAAATCCAATATGGCGTCCATAAGAAAAAATAAAGTCGAGGCTGGAGGACAGGAGACGAAACGTCATATTGAAATTCTAAGTATGCCATCTTGTAGAGAAGAAAAAGAGCTGATGTTAATGTGCAATTTATTTTGATATCCCACTACAAATAAAGTCAGGAAACATTTGACCAATTTTGGGAAAATTCGGTTTTTTCGTTACTCTCCGGAAGTACTTTCAATTTCCAGACTTTCAAAGCGGCATTTTGTTGATTACCTAAATACCCACACCATTGAAACTGCTTATAAGCACTATTCAATGGTCCACGTTTTGTCTCTTAGCAAATAAGCAGCACTGCGACCTTGAACTAAGGTATGTGGCGTATAATTCGTTCGCTACTTTCATCAATTTTGGAACTCGACTATGCCCTTGTCGGTTATTTTTATGTGTACAACAATAAATTGGTGATTTTGCAGCAGGGCGTCCGGTTCGATCCTGACATGCCTCAAACCATCCGTCTGGAGTTCGCCAAAAGCAACACGAAGGTTAGCAAGCCCAAACAGCAGGCAACTAATGCCGCCAACACGCACCCAACTTTGATGCACCCTCTCACTGGACGTAAGTACACCGACCACACACCCTCCCGCCACACAAAACACAAAATTTTATGGAAAGTATTAATTGCAATCGAAATTATATAGGCTTGGTATGGTAGCATAGCTTGGGGTGAGACAAAAAGTTCACATTGAGGACAGCTGTAGATAATCCAAAAGGCAATATATAGTTAATAAACCAGTATAGTACATTTCAGCTTTTCCACGACCAAAATATTCTTGATGTTAGACAACTATATCTGTTGAATATACTGACGTGGCAGTATAAAAATCAGCGGAATATTAACATTGTCGGACATGAATACAATACCATCAAGAATAAAAATTATATTGATGTCTTCAAACCAGAAAAGAATCTTCTACAACAGTGATATATTTTCATAGGTCCAGGCGTTTCGATATGATACCACATCAGGTAAAACAAATGCAGTCCTAAAGCTTTTTCTCTTTAGAAGTAAAAAAATAGACACGACTTTTTACAAATGATTGACATAGAGAAAGTACCAATATAGTCCTAGATCAGAGTCTAGACAATATGTTACTCTATTCTGAAATAAAATATGGATCTTAAACATACGCAGAAATTACAACAAATAATTGAAATTTCATTATAGCTTTAGATCATTTTTTTACTTAATTTGATACTCTAATTTAGTTAAACGTCACACTTTATTGTAATTATGTAAGTTTATGTGTTTCCTTTTGAAACTACCGTGAAATTTTAGTATTTTAAGCTCTTATTGTGGCAAATTATAAATGTTTTATCGGCGCAAAAGAGTCTCTCCTCTGTAGAATTATTTTATTTATTTGCAAATGTTTTAAACCCACTTCTTAAAATATAATTTTTGTATTGTATACATTCTGTCAAAAAATTATCTATCTATTCACCAAAAAATCTAAATCAAAGCTTTCATTTCTATGCCTTCTATTACATAAAAGATAAATATCGTAAATGACTGCTTGTTGTTAATTGGCAAAGTTGCACTTATAATTTTTCAAATTTTGTTTTTATATGATGGCACTTCCAAGTTTTATAATGGCTGAAATATGTTGTTAAATAATTCTCTGTCGGCATTCTGGTTTCCATATATTTTTATAAGCTATGTAATTTTAGACAATCTGTAAGAAAAAAGGAATTGGGCTATCAAAGTATAAATCTCTCGAATTTGAGAAAGTTGTCATCTATTCTTTACAACTACCTACAGTGTTTTATCAAAATAAGCTACTATTTACTTTCCATCGATATTTTGTGCTTTGTAGACATCACACACGCGTTAACTACCGTTCCTAACATCAACGGGTATTGTTTGGATATTTATTAGCGGCCATTGCTATGCAAACAAAAAATAACAGAAACTTTCGATACGCTGTTTTGTATAGACTGGGATTGAAAAATTGGTAAACGCGGCAAACATATTTCATCCAAATAGTTACTTGCATCTGATAATAACCATGACATTAAAGTGGTTACAGAGCATTGAAGGTTATTGAGAATATGGTGGAAGTGCGACGAGAAAAACGTATCTTCTCTTTAGGCTGAGATACTTCAGCTTTCTGAGATACTTTCCTCCAATAATTTCTAGCAATATACAAAAACTCCTTGTTATTCTGTGTCATTCATATTCGCTATACACATTTTTTAACATGGACTTTTGGTAAGAAAACGCTGATGTGGAGCATTCATCAAATATTTCAATAAGTTGGACCATGGAAGGCCACTCTAACAAATAAAAAGTTATTAGTAAACAAATAAATTATTAAATAAACTAAAACTAAGTATGTATTAATTAAAATATTTTCAAATTTAATTTGATAAATTTTATATGGACATTAAATAACCTTTAGGATGTTGAGATGTTGTTTCTCGGACCTCCATTGTGATCAGTTCACCTAATGATGCTTGAAAATCACATCAATCGGAACGTCGTCAATCAAAAAATTTTATTGACAATTGAAGTACCGAGAAACAAAATCTCAATCCACATTGTCATCAAATTTCAAAAACACTTCAGAATGTTGATTAAAAACAATTTAAACCGGTCAAAATAACCGTCTTATGAAATGTCATAATGTTTCAGGTGGCAGTTTATTTACTCGAAAACTTGCGTTTTGCTCGATGAAGTATGTGAGTAGCAGGAATTTGACATCACATGGCAATAACTGCATTTTTTTAAATTGACCTTACAAGGAGCATGTCCTTCTATGATTTACCCACCTTAGTTTTAAATGTATCAAAGATTCTGCTCAGCAATTTGGCGATAAAATATATTATTTATATTATCTATGCATTTAAATTTCTTATGAAATCCAAACAATACTCCCAGGGAGCTGTTAGTTGCGTTTTCCTTAGATGAAGGGTCAAATTACACCTACGACATAGATTTTACAGAAATGCAAAATAATGAGAATTTGCAACTTTGTTCGCATGGTGCATCGGAAAACTAAGGAAGAAATTAAAAATAAACTGAATACAAAATGTATAAATCATCATATGTAACAAGATTTGTAGTCGAGTCATATTGTTTATTTCGTATTTTCTTAGAAGCATAGAAGGAACAAAATAAGTTTTCTGTTATTTCCAAGTATAATTTCTAGTAGTATAAACACAGTTTATTGAGCTCCTTTTATGTTTTGAAAAAATTCACATCTCAACTCCAGACACCGATGAGAGAAGTAGTTCCAGAATCGACAAAAAAACAAGTACTCCCATATACCAAAAATTTGGCCCTTAATCTGTCGCACATACTCGAAATATCTGTAAATAAAGAGCTTGGCGTCATAGTATGAACTACCGCAGTACAGGATGGTAAAAGGTTTTTGACATGCATACCTTCTTAAAATATTATCCATCAAAGTACGTTACCCCTAAGGCACATGTTTTATTTCAAATAAGTCATTCCATGATAACTCATCTGACGATAATCTTTTGACATTTTTCTATTGATTTCGATAAATTATGTATTGCTGAGGACGTTGGCTAACTCAAGTAAAATTGTATCGTCTGTAGTGTTCAGTGGAGTATATAGTAAATTAATTGATAGATTTCCTTAACAAAGTAATGTTAGTTTTACTTTTGGTCGGTATTATACAGGGTGTCCCAGAAGTCGACGTCAAGCCGGTAACGGGGGATAGGCCAAGTCATAATAGGTATCGGAAAAATACTTGAAGTAGAGTACTTTCCAAATTATACGCTTACACGTACAACGAATACAATCTCTACAACCCCGGGATTATCTCCCAAGAACTGAGCTCTGTCAATGTTACAGAACACCAGGAAGATCCGCGATATTTAAAGAAAATCTTATAGGCTGATGAGTCGACATTTATCAAATACGATTACTTGAATCTACACAACTTACACAAGTGGCATATGAAAAATCCACAGAAACGTTTTAAAATAAACATGTGGACCGGGATTCTAAATGGGAAGATCGTCGTCACTTACCAAATTTATTGGAAGACGTGCCACTAAGCATTTACTGAGACATGTGGTAGCTGCAAGACGGCTGCCCGGCGAATTATGCCCGTCCAGTTACAGAATATCTTAATACGGAATACCCGAGCTGATGGATAGGGCGGTCTGATACAATTTCGTGGCCAGCTCATTCACCTGACTTAAATCCACTTAGATTTTACTTGGGAGCGGTGAATGAAAAACTATACTCAAAGCCAATCTAAAATTTAGCTGAACTACGCGACAGAATGAAAAGTTACATGTTGTCATTTTTTCCACATTTTATAGTTTTTTGTGACATAACGTAGGTTTTTCAACAATATATCAACTTGACACTAACTGTTGTACACTTGTTATGAACTCGTTTTGCCTAAACGTTCTGATGCTTCAGCTATCAATGTTTGGCTCTGATGTGATGTAACATCTGCCTCAGAGATTGCATTGTCGAAAGTGTAAGTTGTAAGTTGTATACTATAGCTGGAAGGAAACGGGAGTGCATAGGTGCATAGTGAGGATTTGTGGCATATACATGTTAGCAGTAATTACGCATAACGCGGGCGCGGTTGTGATTTCCCGAAATTCCCCTCAAAGTTTTTGAAAACACAAAAAGACTGAGAAAAATCGTAATTTATAACTTGGAACATAATCTGTCTTCAGAAAGGATAACATATAAATAACCCGTCGGGCACAGCTAATAGATATACTTCGTTGGCAGCATATTCAGTAATAATTTTCTCACATCGCAAATATCACTGATTTTATACACATGCAGGCCAATTCACATAATCATCCAGATGTGATCTTGCAAGTCAACCAACTTTCTTTCTTTCACATCTTCTCAGAGATAAATACTACTTGGCTTTCTGCAACCAACAATGCATGCTTGAGCGTGTCATGTCGTTGAGTCATTCCCCCATAGGTGCACGCTTTCGATGACGCTCACAGCGATCATAGCGAGCAGACGAAGAATGAACTATTTGCACACTAATTACTACATAGTCTGCAAGATGACATTCTGTGTTTTTTACGTTTTTCAGGTTTTTTACATAATATCCCAGCCGATCACATTTAATAAGATGTCAAAATTGCATTGCTGCTAAAGGAAGGCAGTTGGAATATCCATTGTGAATTTAATAAATACATTCACGAATTAATAAAAGTTGCGTTTCTATGTCTTGCTATCACTACGAAGAATAAAAAATTGGAATTTTTATATTTTTGGCCTATCACTCGTTTGCGGCTTGACGTCGGACACCCTGTAAATTTATAAGGTGACTGCATAGTTACAACTTGATTTATTATTTCGTCACACTTCCCGATATTCGGAAATTCCCTTTGCTATCGACTATACACAAAGCTTGTATTTTTGCAGCTTACTACAGAAATGATAATTCACTTAGGAAGTCAACAAAAAATCGACATTCTGAGATAGTGAAGGATTCTTTGAAGTCAGTTGAGTTGAAACGGAATGGCTTGTTACGTAACCCAGTCTTAAAGGCATGCCACCCCCAACACCGATTGAATAAAGCACGCCATACACTGTCACATCAATAACCTGGTTTGAATCCCAATTTTCTATTATATTAGACTTGCTTCTTTGCGGCATAAGTAATTATTGCTACGATATCTGTACTATTTCAGATTCCTTACTTATTCGTGTTACTGAATTTCCAGGCAGTTCACAGGACATTGAGAGTTATCATATGTTTGGTAGTCTATGCCAAAGAAAGGAACTGCAAGCAGGTTTTTTCAATATGACACTTAACATATAGCAGGGACGAAGAGGGCATTATTGTTTTGATAGTATTTTTCCAAGAGTTTTCCAGTAAGGACTGACAAACGTTGCGGAATTCGGTAAATGCCCGGGAAATCAGATAAAGTTGGAGTTGAATTGAAATTCACGACTTAGTATGTTATATTAATAAAATGAAAATAAATAATCACGGCAAATATTTGATCAAAATCATATGCTGTATATAATGGTATACTTGTACATAGTCATTTCAATTAAAAAAGAGTTTTGCTGATAGTAGGTAATTTGAAAAGTTTCTGTGACATATACAGATGCCGTTGGTATCAGAAAATATATTGCTGATAAACTGATTTGGAGAATAGTTTTTTTACAGCGGTTTCGAGTAGGCGTAATAAGTGAAAATGGAAGAATCTCAAAAGTATGCACTCATTAAATATGTTGATGATCCTCTACGATCTACAGCATTTAACCGTGCGGAGATAGGTGAAAAATCTGACCACCTTCACGTACCAATGGTTAAAATATATATAAAATATGACGAAAACCCCCTACATTACCGGCCCATAAGTACTCGACGTTCTGCGCAATGCACAGACAGATGTCGCAATACAGAAACGGTCGACCCAACTAACAGCCGCAATATTCACAGAAGAGATCAGCAATTGCTTTCTATGCATATGTGCATAAATAGACACGACTGAAGGGGACATGTTTGCACATTCATTACCATTGAATCAAAAACGAATTCGAGTAAGACTTTCTCCTAACCCCTTGTCTTAATTTGCAAAAGATAAAACTGATTTTATGCGTCAATTTATAATTTTGGATGAGACTTGGGTATACCACTATGATCCGAAATTGCGACACCATATCGCAAAGTAAACTGAAGCCGGCTGTTCTACTCCAAAGACAAGCAAAGTTGTCGAAATCGCCTGGAAAGGTTATTTCATCCACTTTTTTGGGATGCAAAAGTGGTATTGTTAATAGATAAGCGACAGACATTTAAACCTATAACAGCAGAGTATTATTGTAAGCTTCTCGATAAGCTGACCGCAGAAATTCGGAAGAAACTGTTAGGTTTACAGAAGACAAAAATCATCTTCCTTCAGGATAATGCGGCTGCTCAGCACTCTAACAATTTACGGAAACCGGTCAATTTCATATCCAGTTACTTAAAAACCCACTTTTTTCGCCAGATTCAGAATCATCTAAGATTCATTTGCTTTCGTGCTCTAAAAAGACCATTCATTGCAGTTGTAGGCATGTATTTTGAAGGGTTTTCGCCATTCCAAGAACGGTATAAATCGAATAGAAAATCACTGGAAAAAATATATTGATTTCAATGGAGATCATATTAAAGAATAAACGCATTTTCACATCTTGTTTTATTCCGTCTCAACTTTGACTTGTCTTTTCTGGAAAACGCTTGAGATTCCAGTGTGGGACTATTCGCTATCTACTCCTTGGGGTTTGTCATCATTAACAAACATTTTACATTTTCCGATTTTTGGAATTCGCATCTAACCTAGCCACGAATTTATGAATGTTTTTTTCAGACCTCGGAGCGCCGTTCTTTCCAGGAGGTCCCGAGCTTTGGCATCATCCCCTCGCCTATTCACCAGCTGGAGCAGAGCTACCCGGGGCAGCCGCCGCCCTTCAACATGCCGCCCTGGTTCATCCGGCACTGCATCCTCAGGTTTGTTGTCACCTTCATTTAGGAGTCTTCGAAAGTTTTTCACATACAAGCATGTGAATTTATGTAAAATGAACGTGTTGCGATGACTAAAATTGAATCGGACGTTTAAAACATTTCATATAGTTTATTCACAGAAACAAAGCACTTGCGTCATATTTAGTAAATTTGAATGCCAACCTTAATGCAAAATAGATCCTAAATTGGTACATACAGTTTGAATTTACCGGGTACTTTTAGGTTGGTGACAGTTTTCTGTGTTGTGACATTGTCGCCAAGCTTGTGAGGTAATTACGCCAACGGCTGTTGTTTATTTGTGGTTTATTTTCGTTCTTTTTGCCTCAATATTTGCATTGTTATTTTAAAAAAACCCTGGGTCGACAACCAAAAGAGTTCGTTATTTCTTTGATGTAATATTTTGAGACCGAACGAGATCATGAAGCTCCATTATTGCCTTTACAGTCCGTAAGAGAGGTAATAAGTAGTAAATAGAATTTAAACTAGCTCTAGCGTTTACACATACGGTCCGTAATGTTGGTTGCGGTAAGGCATCGAAGACACAAAGTAGATTTTGTAAAACGTCCTAGGATCTAGTAGTCTTAATTAATGTGGCAACCATGTGGGTCACTGTCATTATTCGACGTTGTGACGTAACTGCTTTGATTCGGTGAGTAAACTATAATCAAATCCAAGCGAGTAACCAAAATTTCTGTGTTATTTGCCGCGGTTATAATATGGTTCAAGATGACACACGGGTTGATGACGTCAGTTACACGAATCGCTTGAACGCGTTGGTTTTAACCGCGGTTTTGTTGCAAGTTGTTTATTTTAGAAAAGCGCGTATATAATCTCTGATTATTTTTATTATCACTTAATAATCGGTGCTTTTTCGTCTACAACTGTATATGGAAAGTTTAAATAAGAAACCTTTCATAATATTCATGGGAGAAATGTTTTTTCAGATTTCTTTTTAATGCCAGAACCATGGCTTTGTAGCTATGATAACTTTCAATTCTCTAATTTTTTCCGCATGTCAAAGAAAACATTTATTGATTCAGCAGAAATGATGAAAAAAGAAATTAGCAAAACCGTATACAGGTGGATATCATCTAGTGAGTTTATATGGCTATATTTTAATATTCTTGTGGTATATGGCTACACAGGATACTTTGTTAAGCATAGGAACTACATTTAAAGTGTCCCCAACAACCGTAATGAGTATAACTAATAAGGTGCTCCACTTTATGGTAAAACTGAAGTCAGCCTGTATCATTTTTCTCAAAAATGAAGCTGAAGTACAATAACAATATCCAATACCCGGCAAAATTCTAACTTGTCACATTTCAAATAATAACCAGAAATATAAAACTACTCTTGAGTTGGGTAAATACCACAATTTTGCGGTGATAACTATGACACATAACAGCTGATTCGTGACGTCACGGATCTTATAACCAAACTGATAACTACACTCGCTTGAACGGATTGGTAAATACCAACCCAAAATGGTAAATACCATTTCCATTTAGTTATCCGCTTGAATTTGATTTATACGTCACAATTTGAATTTTTCAGGAGACAATAAAAAGCGTTTTTCAATTACAAGTTTGCCCTAACGCGGTTGTTAACTTCAACCAGAGGATCATGTCTGGGATAACTATTGTCGTTTTCATGAGTATGCATTACGGTAGAATAAGAGCTAGTTATCTATTAATATTTCAAAATTCCCCATATCAACGTAATTCTGACGGATCCGTCCATCGCCAGGTAGGCAGAACCGTATTTTGTTGTTTTTTAGACGCTACAGATTCATTTTGTACTTGCTGACAACTCGTATTTAGAAAAGTTTATTTACATACAAAAAAATTCGATTTATTATTGCCAACGTTACAGATTAATACAAAGGATTAACTTGCTGATTAGCTGTTCACTTCAGTCGACGTCGTGATGAATACTCTTGAAGTAGGGTTTATAAATTGTGATCAAACTGCAATATCTAACCTAATATGTACTTGACAGTGAAATAAGTTGTTATTGATTGCATAGCATACGATAATTCAGACATAAAAGCGGCATCAACGGTTTACGAATTGTTAAGAGCTCTTTCACACGTTCCGGCGCGCGCCTTGCGACGCTCGTCGCGCAGCGCACGCGTGACAAGCGTGATGTTTTCACACGAGGTCGGTTTCGTCCGGCACGCGCTGCGCGCCACTCCCGTATTTTGATTGTTCAGTTGAGGCTAGCTATTGAAATGATCACAGCGCGAAAGAAGAAAAAATAGGCGGTTTTGTATTCACCCATTGCTTCAAAATCGACAAATTTCACGGTCGTTCAAAGTTTTATTCAATTCATTGCGGATCAGTGAGGAAAGACAAAATACAACACTTGCACAAAAACGAGACCATGGTACATGTACTGTTGGACCAGCGAAAGATTGCAAGCCGAAAGAATGCGGACAAAAAATTGCGAAGTTGTCAGATGTTCTACATAAAATGCGGTCCATACATATTAACATATTTAAGATATAGAATTGTTCCGCTGAATTTGGCAATGTAGCTGGAAAACCCAGGCCGCAGGTAAACATCCGGTCGCTGATTGGTCCAAAACTCTTATCTTATCTGAAACTAGAATAACGTGCCGATGGCACGGTCATTTATAAACCTACTCCCATAGGCGTAGGCAGTTGGCAAATACTTTGAAAATATAATTTACTGTTTAGTGGTGATAATGGAATTCAAGCATGGGAAAGTTATTCACAGCCAGGCAAGGGAAATAATAGCAAACGTGATACGTGCTTGCGATGCAGAAGCGGCTAACAATACTTTCGTTTATCCACTGGTAGCTAGAAATGCAAGGGCGGCATATTATACGGGTGTTAGTGAACGAACTATAAGTAAAATTAGAAAAGAAGATAAAGACAGGCAAAATGCAACCTCCACACAGCCTTTAGCTTCTCCCGGAAAAAAGAGATCACGCCCTTCTGTGATCCAAAAAATTGATGGAGTCGATTTTTCCATTATTCGGAGAATGATAGAAAAATTTTACTGTGATTTTAAAGTGGTACCTACTTGTAGTAAACTTCTAATCAAACTGAAGGAAGAAATGGAATTTCCATTTGGTAAAGAATCGTTGAGGCTGCTTTTAAAAGCAAAAGGATTTTACTGGCGTAAATGCCACAACAAAAGGAAATTACTAATGGAAAGACCCAGTATTTTACATTGGCGATACAAGTATCTTAGGTCTATTAAAAAGTTCCGGGAAGAAGGAAGGCATATTATTTATTTGGACGAAACTTGGGTTGATAATGACCTCACTTTCAAGAAATGCTGGCAAAGCGAAGAAATTATGGGTGTCCTGAGCAATATAAGTTCTACAGGTAATAAAGTTTCTTTCACCTCGATTTTGCTTATTATACATTTTTCTCAATTTTGGAATATTCTTAATAAGTGCTCATTTAATTTGTCTAATTGAATACATAATCCCTTGCAAGTATTTTTTTCTCAAAAATATGTTTTTTATACATAGTGATTCAAAAAGGTGTTGGCAAACTTAAAATAACACTAAAATGAGGCTATTTATTCATTTCCAGGACGACTTATAATTGTTCATGCGGGTTCGCAAGATGGTTTTGTTCCTGGAGCCTGTCTCATTTTCAAGGCTGGCTGTGCCACTGGTGATTATCACGGTCAAATGAACCAAGAAAATTTCACGAAGTGGCTTACTGAAAAACTATTTCCTAACATTCCTCCTAATAGTATTATAATAATGGATAATGCACCTTACCATTCAGCTTTGGAAGACAAGCCTCCAACTAGATCTTCTCTAAAAAGAGACATCATCACGTGGTTGAGCAAAAAAGGTATAGAGCATGATCCTAATGCTAAAAAAATGGAGCTTTATGAAATAGCTTGTCTACATAGGCCACCATCTGATGAGAAAAATTATAAGATAGATAATTTAATAAGAAGTTTCGGACACACCCCACTTCGAACGCCACCCTATATGTGTCAGTTTAATCCCATAGAGATGATTTGGGCACAAGTAAAATTTTTCATTAGAAGCCATAATACAAGCGGCGAATTTACTATAAAAAAACTAGATGAAATTTCTAATAAGGCCATCGCTTCAGTAAGTGCCAGTGACTGGCAAAAGGTTATTGGACATGTTATAAAAATTGAAGATGAATATTGGGAAAAAGACAGTCTCATTCAAGAAATACAGGAAGAAATAATAATCAACATAGGAGGTGAAAGTGATAGCAATGACAGTTCCTCAGACAGTGATCATGACTCTAATCAGGATTGAAACTATACTAGATTGGCTACCTTTTAGAATTTTTAGATATTCATTTATTATACTATTGGTTTGTGGCTTTTAGTATCTCAGTAGAAAGTCTAATTCTATGTGTTGTTTATGGGTTATTTCATCAAGAAATTACTTTTTGTTTTCCTATATTTTTCTATTCAGTCAGATATTTTTGACTTGTTGTATTCTATTTTAGAAGAATGCATAATTTGTTTTGCTGTTCAATCATAATGCGTACATAGGAATATTACTTGTTGCCTAAAAAATATATTTATTTTGTTCTCAATATTCAGTGTTTGTGTATATTTATTTCTTATAATGTATGTTTGGTATCACGTCATTATGAATCGCAAAAAAATATTAATACTACCAGTTGTAATAAAATATAAATTCAATTAATAATTCAAGTCTCTCCGATCTCCGCCTATGACTCCATATAAAATCGTCTAATGGTAAGGTTTTTTCATCGCATTTCCCCCTTTCGTCCCTAGCAATCTTTGGCTGGTCGATCAATACGTCTTTACTCTTCAGTGGCAGGTCCAAGACTATAGGTTGAGGGGTGCGGGGGTGCGGCGCGCGCCGGACCGTGTGAATACCCCCATAGCCTTTCGCAGAGTAATCCGGCGCGGAGGCCGCATGTACGGCGGGCCTGCGCTGTACGGAGCGCGCCGGATATTGTGTCGAAAGACTCATCTAGTCCACTAGCTCAACGACGCATCAGGCGCGCGCCGTCGTAGTTAAATAACTTGAAAGTTCACCAGCGATTAAGAAACCGGGCTTTATAAAGTTTGTAGTTACACAGCAATATCTTACCCTGTTTCGAGAAAAACTTCTCTATTATTCGCGCGTGTGTCATTGAGATACGCCAAAACAAATATTCGAGTGCCTGTTTCCGGCCTTCTTTACGACATACCGTCTTCCGATTAAGGTTACTCGAAGCGAAACCTAATTTATCCGATAAATTGGTATGAATAACCTCACCCCTGTTTATGACAAAATATCGTACTCGTATTTGAAATTACGCTAAATTTTTATAGAATCGGTCACAAATGTCGGGCAATCAGCAGATTGCTCTTCCATAATGCATTCTCTAACATCTACAATTTACAAACCGCCAAAAGTAGATGGAAAAAAGATAAATTTGATAGAAAGGTAAGCTATTTATAACCTTAGACATGACCGCCAACCTAACTAGTGTCATCTACGTGTAGCCCATTAGGGAGAATTCAAATTTAAAGTTTCCGCCTGTGATTCCTGGTTAGAGAACAAGTTGCTGAACCAGAGTTTATTAATATTAGAAATTCTTATAACTTTCCGGCAAGATTTTAACAAAAACTCGCCCTCTCACTAAATATTCCATTGTAATACGGATGATTCTTGGACTATAGCGGTGTGTGAAAATTTTGACACGGATTTTCTAGAACCACTGTTCGATGTCAATGGTAACGACAGATAACAGGAGTGACTTCATAATAATTGTATATGCTTTACATTTGCTAACTTAATTTTGAGTCAAATGTCAGTTACCAGGTTTTACACCCGAACCCCTGTAAATCGTAATTCATGTAAACGCAAACGGTCCGAGTAAGCAGGCACTCCATTCTGTGCCCCATAAGGGCTATCATAGTATTTTTATTGTCTGCAAATAGATCATGTAGGTATGATTCGACAGTTACGCACGAGTCTGTAAATTTTTTGATATTAACGTTGATGTACCTGATTTGCAGGTGCCGGTGCGATCCTACCTCTGACTATCCACAGACAAAGCAGCGATGGACTCTGCAGCCGCAGCAGCTGCAGCTGCAGCAGCAACCGCGATCCATCTTCATCATCAGCAGCCTCCCGCGCCCCCGCCGCAACACCACGTTGGTGTCCTTCAACAACCAACGGTATGATTGAATATGAACAACTACGTATAGCGTGCCTTTTCCTAATAACTGCCGGTACGCAGCTACTTGCCGTTCACACGGAATCAAGGGCGGATCCAACATTTGTGTAAGGGGGGCACAGGATTTATGTTCATATCCTCATATTCACCTCAAGGGGGGGAGGGGGGTTTGGTTCGATATTCTGAGCCGTTCTGGGGTTTCGGAGTTAAACAGCCCCATATTATTTTAGTGCAGTTTTATAAATTATGGATCCGTGTTTTGATACTGATTCCCCCGTTTTGAACATTTGGTAATTCTCATAACGGATCCGTCTTCAGTGACCTGAAAAACCACGGATATTTTTTCTTTAAAACGGTTGATATTGTCGAAATTAAACATGAATAAATTTCTTAAAACAACCGCAGTTAGCATTATATTGATGAAGATGGAACAGTCAACACTATCGAGGTACATCCCAATTTCCAAAAATATTATTTTTAATCATTAGTATACTAAGGTGTAAAAAAATTATATAATACATTCCGTTTATGGCTAGTCCGCCTCTGGCAAACTAAATAAGTTAATAGTTTTCGATGGATTATATCGTCGCATAAGTTATGCAACACAGCGTAACTCAAAATTGACAATTTTTCATAAGAGCAAAAACACGGTGGACCTTCGGATACAGTTTCAAATGACGCGCATATCCTGATGGCGCAATTTTTTGAGTTACGCGATGTTAAAACTTAAGCGAATACATTTGAAAATTGATTAAGAAACACCTACTTCCAGCGACATCTCCTTTAGGGACCTGTTTATCAGGAATCAAGAGGTGTTTCGAAAATCGGAACGATCAAATACAACAGTCAGAGTCACACATTGAATTCTTCATGCTTATTCACAAATAAAAAGTGTCAAAAATGTGAAGAAGTACATAATGTTTATGTTTAACTCTCACGGTTAGATAACTATGATGCTTGATATTTACCATTTCCTTTCGATTTTCTCTAATTTTGTCTGTCCAAACGTATTTTTACCAAATTCTCGAAGCAACTGATCGTCTGAATTTTCAACTAACTACCTTAATCACAGAACATATGAGGCTCAATTTCCACTAATGCACTAACGGACCAAGCCGAAAAATGCAAAATCACTATTTTATTTATATTTGCGTCAAGCTGAACGTATAGGCAACCACACTTACGCAACCTCTTATTTCCACGTTTTCATCGATGCGCTTAAAACTTGATCAGGGTTGCCAGGTGTAGTGATTTTTCACCAAATCAGATGATTTTTGATACCAGCGGAGGAGTTACGTCGGTCGGTCTGTCATCGTCTACTATAACTCGGAAACTAGCAGTCGGTGTTTTGATGAACTTTTGATTGAAGTTATTACTATACTTGGGACTAATGAGCTTTGAGAAAGTGGGTATAGTAGCACCAGAATAATCTTCAAAAAACTACTAGTCCTTGATCTTTCCCTAACTCGGGCGGTATCCCTCGGATCTAGATGAAACTATGGTAGAAAGTCAACAACAAAAAATAATTTTAGTTTTTAAAAAACGTTCCAAAAATGGCCTAGAAATTGTTATAAAGAGAAATACAAGGTGTTCCGTACTTAAACGGACATAGTGAAATGGTAGATAACATAGATTGAGACCTTTTCATTGATATGATATATTAGATGATAACAAATAAGTTCTAAATTCAGGTTTTAGGGATTTAGTGATTTATTCAAGCGCACCAAATCTCTAACATTTCATAGCTCAGGCACTATTGAACCGATTTTGTTGAAATTTTGCAAGATCACAAAGTTACCTACTACGTAAAACTAATCGTTTGGTTGAAAACCCAGGACCTGGCTCGATTTTTTCTACTTTTTTTGTTTTTTACCAAAATCAACACCTTTTGAGCTACATATTGAAATATTTGACTATGTAAAAAAGACAATGAATTGTGCTGACTAATTAATTAATTAATCACGCCTTTTTTGTTAAACATTTCAGTTTTTCCAAATATCTTATTTTCAGCAGTTTCTGTGATACAAATCAAAATTTGAAGGATTAAAAAATATGCTTATAATTGAACTAAAAATGTTTTGAGAACTCAAAATTCTGGGGTTGTTTTTCCTTGTATTTTATCAAGTGCAACGACCTGTAAGTTATACTCTGTATTTATTATTATTTAGCAGTGAAAAGAGCAAAATATTATACAAATAAAAGGGAAAGTTAGTGTTACGCACCCTATTTAGTTTTTTCAGTATTTTTTTAATAACTCAATTTGACTCCTCAGACTAATTCGAAATTATGATTAAAATGTAGATTAACCCAATGTACAGGTCAGGGCTCAGCATTTTTAGCATATTATTACGTTTACGGTCGCAAACTACAACCGTACGTTAGATTTAGTTACATAATGCACACATGCTGCACAACTAAATGTCAAGTCCGGACCTGCATACTACATTTTTGTAAATTTTTAACTTAATTTCAAGTTGGTCCAAAAGGTCAAATTGAGTGGAATTGCATAATTGACGGCGATTTCCTTTTAAGCAGAATTCAGGTTGTTGGACAATATCCTTTGGTAGAATTGACTCATTAAAAAATTTACTAAAATAGAAAATAGATTTATATAACATTAACTTCGCCTTTAATTTATATCATTTATTGCTCTTTTTTCTAATGAAAAATAATTAAACAACTGTATCCGGCCCTGGGGTTTTTAGTTCCCAAAACATTGGCGAAATCAAGTTGGTACAATGTTTGAAATTTTGACTTCTGCGTCACATAAGCTGATAAAAATGAGATATTTGAATGAATAATAATGTTTAAATAAAGGCCAAATAGTCGGTTCCATAGTGCCTAAGATATGTGATATTAAAGATTTCGCATATAAAAATCACCCAGTGTGTCCGTAAAAAGTGAATTTGGAATTTTATTTTCACATCTAAAAAGGTCTTGAATCATACAAACTACCATTTGGCTATGCCCATTAAGTACAAAACACCCTGTGTATGAAAAATGCAGAAGCTTGGGTTATCGGCCTTTTTGAGCCTCCTAAATATTGTCAGGGGTTCTTTAAAGTGATAAAACATTAAACGTATGAAATTTTAGCGAACTGAGGAGGGTAATTCTCATTTTTGGCCTTAACAGATTTATTTTGCTGATAAAATTTATCAGGTAAACGTCAACGGTAGACAGTGAAGACCTCCAAAAGTAATAGACCTATACCCCCAGTTTCTATCGGTTTTTCTACTATTCCTACCTTGTTTTAGGGCTATACCAGATCTGTAAATTAAGTGTGATGAGACTGATTTTTTAAACATAATTACAATTTTATATTATTATTCTCAAAATAACTTCCTTCTGAGGACACACAGCGCTGGAGACGGTTCTTCCACTCCTCATAGCAGTACTGGAACTCCGATACTGGAATAACCTTCAGCTAGTCGGTTACAGCCGTTTGATTTTTTTTATACTCCAACCACCACGAAGGCCTAAGGCCTAAACACCCATGGGGTACGCGGGGCTATAGGGCAGTAGAGGGGAAAGGAGGAACGCCACACGGACTCTGGCGCACGGCGACTGATCAGGAGACCGAAGAGTCTACTACTGCGGCCACCGCTGCTACCTGGTTTCTTCTGTCCCAAAATGAGCTCTCTCAACTTCGGGAGCAGAAAAAAATCACAAAGACTTAAGTCAGGCGAATAAGGAGGCTGAAGAGCCAAAAACTGTACAAAAACTCGTTTATTGACATTGCTGTGTGACAAGGAGCATTATCGTGATGCAAAACCCAGTTGTTCTTGATCTGATGAAAGGTGATGTGAGTCAAATTTAACTCTTCTCCGATCATTCTGAATGCCAACCAACAATCTGAACGCAAAGGATCCCGGATCCTGACGATATTTTCATCGGCTGTTGAAGGATGGCCTTCCGCTTCGTGGTTCATCTTCAATCGACTTTCTCCCTTCTGAAAACCCCTTAAACCACCGAAAATCCTGGGTTCTTTACAAAGCACTCCGTAGGCCTACCGTAGTTTATCAAGAGTTTCCGTTGCACTGTACCCAGTCTGCATTTAAAACACAATAAAAAATCGGACGACCAACTGACTCGAACGAGCGCAAACTTGTATTGAAGGCAGATCACACGTTTCCCTGTCTCTCCTCCAAGCCCGACGCCTCCAGTGTTGCCAGATCGAACGCTACGTTGCCAGTCTCATCGCTTAATTTGCAGACCTCGTATAACTTGTATGAATATAATAAATTTTACCGTAATTTAAGTATTTTAAATAAAGATAGTAACATGATTAACTGCGGCCCTTTTGCACCGATTGCAGACACCGATTAGTATGCCGCATCCAACAACTCTAACATCCTTGCCGCAGTTCCTGCCGAGTCCGGCTCTGGCTTCGCCGGTGGGCTCGTCCTCCTCCCAGCCAGGCGTTGGGGGTGGCATGGGGGTGAGCAACCATCCATGCTCCACACTCTTCGTCGCCAATCTGGGACAGTTCGTCTCTGAGCACGAGCTCAAGGAGATATTCGCCAGGTAGGGCTACATCACAATATTATTGTTTTTGGTATTTGATTCAAAACAAGGATTTATTACCCCAAGGAGGTATGTTGCGATTATTATTTGTCCTAAATTAAGATATTTCGGGATCCCGTCTACTGCGAAATATCAATTAAGTTAATGGATGTAAATTCGGTATGCTATACACAGAATAACAGGACAAGTTGGTCCAAAATTGTTTTTCTGGTACTAGCCCAATAATTTCGTAGTTTTACCTAGACATTGCCATACACGTATCATTTCTGTTCCCGCCACCATATTGGAAAAAATGCTTCCAAAACTAGTATTTTTCCAATCTTAAAATTTTCCTATAGAGTTCCTAAAATCTATGTATCTATCTTTTTTTTAGTTCAATTCGGCATATGAGCGTGGTAATGTTTGTGCTAATACAAATATATGGGAAATTAGGTATTAGTTAGTCCCATGCATTAAGACTAGAGACACGAGGTTAAACTCATGGAGTGTGGTGCGGCCAAAAAAGTCGACGATGAAATGAGTCGTAGATTCCGCAGCAAATGAATTTCAGGCCCTTTTCGTCTGTACACTGCGCAAAATATGAATTTCAGGATCTGCGCATGTGGCATCTATCTCTGTTGTTGTCATTATGATTGTAAACAACTCCAATTTTGACAGTTCGGATGAGTTGCAAGCAGAAATATTGGATGATAATGAATCACGAAGTAATAAACCTACAAAGCATCTCAAAACGTGTGAACGAGTGAAATGCACATAAAGATTGCGCCAAATCATGTAGGCATTTTTCAATGCGTGCGCAAACGCTCTGCGCCATGCTCTACGTCCACTGGATTTCCGAGAGCCACACCATCTTTGGCGACAAGATTGGCTTCGTACGAATACAAGTATCCCTTACGCAGTTTAACCTCCTATGAGTAGTCTATGCTTCTATACAGGGTTTGTCCGGAAAGTAATAGGACTGAGTCGATTTAAAAAAATGTATTGAGCCAATCGTTACAATTCTTTAAAAACAAAAAAAGGTCCGGGGGGGCACATCTGGGCTGTAGGGCGGCTGCGGAAGCGTTGGGATGCCGGCCTTGGTCACGTAGCTGTTCACAAGAAAGGCGGTGTGAGCCGGGGCGTTGTCGTGGTGCAACTTCCAGTCGGCTGCGATGTCTTGTCGGACCCGACTGACCCTTCGTTTGAGTCTCCTGAGCACTTCCACGTAAAACTTTTCGTTGACGGTTTGTCCAGGAGGAACAAATTCATGGTGGACGATGCCTTTGATGTCAAAAAAGACAATGAGCATCGTTTTCACTTTGGATTTGCTCATTCTTCCCTTTTTTGGGCGAGGAGACGCCGTCGTGCGCCACTCGGAAGATTGCCTATTTGTCTCGGGATCATTCTCAAAGATCCACGACCCGTCACCTGTGATTCCGTTATTCAAAAATTGGGGGTCACTTTCACACATGTTCAGATTTTCTTGGCACACTTCCACTCGCCGCAATTTCTGGTCATCAGTGAGCACTTTTGGGACCATCTTCGCGCACACCTTGCGCATGTTCAAATGCTGTGTCACAATGTCATGAACCACAGATTTTGGTAAATTTAACATCTGGGCAATTAAACGAATACTTAGTCGACGGTCTGAGTTTAAAACTTCGCGCACACGAGTCACATTATCGGTGTTTGTCGAAGTCGAAGGTCTTCCCGGCCCTCCAAAAGAGGCCTGGTGCCACCGAAACACCTGGGTAAGCCCGCTTGATCATATCAAACGTCTCTGTCGCAGATTAACCGAGTTTCACACAGAATTTAGTCGCGTACCTCTGCTCTAACGAACGCTGCATTTTCAGCTTGCACCACTCACAGAAACACGTCTCACGAAAATACCTGTCCTGACTCTCCAAGTGCTCGGAGACACCTGACCAGCCGCTCATTCGTTAACTAGGAACGCCCTCTACCGAATCCAGTCGGTGCGCGCACACTCCGAAGTACAGTCATGGCGGAAGAAAATGAGTCCTATTACTTTCCGGACAAACTCTATATATTGAAGCCTGCATGAAGATGGGAATCAAGCAGAGGAAAATGATAGGAATAAACCAAAAAATTACCATTTTGCATCGTGGAGAAAAATGTCAGACCAGTATATGATATTTATGATTTCACTTATAAGACAAATAGGTCTACATGGCGATATTTTGAGCGTATTTTACGAAAATATCGCGCGCAAACAAAAATCTACATGACCATTTTTTGTTATGGTGCCTACTTATAGGTTAACGCCATAAAGCTATGCCTATAAAAGTGTACAAGGCCAGCAGCAAAATGCAGACACTAACCAATCCTTTATTCGTCGCTTGTTTTATCTCCTCTGGGTAGTAAATCTCAATACCGTTGCTAAACTCATAACGATATTATCGATAGTCTTCCCATAAATACAATTGCGAAAATAATAACATAATTGTCTAATCATTATAATTTGCATGTAATAACTAAGCACTAATACTCACGAAAATCACCAGTATAAACCGTAGAGTTTCTACACCAGCTTTGCCGGGTGCCAGGTTATAACCTTAATAGCAAAATTTAAAACTTTTTTAAATTGTGTATGCAGATGCACTGGGATAAAGATTTTCGATAAAATAAATCTTTTACCAAACCACCAGTCGTGTGTACTGGAAACACATGGAAACTGCTACAGAGTCACAGATACATGAACAAAAAATATGGCTTAGCACTACACCATCCACATCAATGTCAATTTAGAAGCTTGATTTTTGTGAATTGAAGGACTCAATGGCCCTTTATCGCGGTGTATTTCATACATAATAAACTAAAAACCTGGCAAAGCTGTACTTTCATACAGGTAAATAAACACTGATGAGTGCACTACTACCGTTTGGGATTTCAAGATATAGTAGTGCATCTTGCAGATGTTGATGATGATGGATTTCGATATCATATTCAATAGCAAAAGTTAAGTATTTTGGGTTTCTGCAAAAAACTTTAATTTTTGGACAACGTGTTTCTCAGATTGTAAGTTATTAAAATATACAGGTCTAATAACTGACATGACATCAAAACTTATTCAACATATCCGATCGTTGAGAACAGACTCACACAACCTTGAAATCCCAAATGCCGCTAACACGCCACTGTTAAGCACAAATCACGTGAAGCCCATGACAGATCCAAGATCTAGAAGTATAAACTACAAAATTGCTATGACATTTCACATAATCCATTATTATCTATGCCTATGCTCCTTTCGTATGCAAACTGATCTCAACTAAACAAACTATAGTCTGACCAGCTGTTCACGTCAATAGGCGTCAAAATGTGATAAGTCGTAAAAAATACTAGATTTCTATCAAATGTCATTTCCCAACTAATTTTGACGGTTTGACCTCCAACCACCCAAGCTACGCCTAGCGGGAGCAAAATTGGACAACGCTGCCATTGCTCTTATCAAAATAACTATGGTAAATCGAGAAATATCAATATGTTGCCTACAAAAGTTGTATTCTGTATTGTCAGTATCTATTTGTTTTTTCTAAGAATGAGAAGTATCCAAACTTGCCCTTCGAAGTTCAAAATAAAATTTGGCGCCCAAGCTGAGTCGTAATAAGTCCTAGCATTCCTTCTTCTACCATGGAGGTTAGGCTTCCATCAGATATAAGAAAATTAGCCTTTATTCTCTGACGTTGACGGTTTGACATGAAATGTATTATGATCATGTTCTCTCTGCATCATTCTTCATTCCTGAAAAATGGATTATACCATATATCAAATTTTTCAATCCAGTTTTCGAGAAATCTATCGATGTAGATCGTCGTATGGCATCATATTATGTATTAGCACACAACTGTCCTGGGCTTTGCCGAAAGAATGTTCATTCCACTGTAATCACCGGAAATGTCACATTGCACCGCTGTCACCTGTCACTTAGTTTCCCCGGCTTCTCCCGGCTGCGCATGCACCCCAAAGGGGGGTCTCCGGTGGCGTTTTGTGAATACCAAGACGTATCTGCAGCCCAGCGAGCCCTACATCATCTACAGGGCTCATTTCTACTGTCCTCCGATCGCGGACCAATCCGCGTCGAATACGCCAAGAACAAAATGGTCACCACTGCTATAACGACATCAGCTGCTGACGCTGAGGTGTGTCAAAACGCACATCTTCGTCTACGTCGTAGATGCTTCTATGTGATCGTGCTTTTCAGAAGGAAGGCATTACTATGGTGTCGCATCGTGATGTCACACATTGTATGACCACTAATATCACATAACCCAAGCATTATAGGAAGTGTAACTATCAAGGCAGGTTAAGTACCGCTCATTTAGTGGGACCGGGCTCCTCGTTTCGCGCTGAATGGACAGCACCTTTGAGAATGTTGGCATTTACATTGGTTTACACTTTCTATGATTCTCGAGTTGTATAGTATTTGTATTGAAAAAAGCTGATGGCGGTAGTAATAGCGAAGTGCTGCTCCATAGTAAAGTTTTCCAGTATGTTGCGTTAAGTGAACAGATAAAATTGAGCTGAAGCTTATTTTCAACAGCATTTAGATAATTTAAGAATGCCCTTCTCTAACAGTAAGATTTTGTAAAAGTTCTCTCTTCCAAACCTGTATATGTATAGAAATATGCTAGGAAGAGTTTCTATTCCTAAGGTACGAAGTAACGAAAAAAAAACATGTTTTGCGACAGGCGAAATTAAAATTGCAGGCTTCGCCTCAATTTTATCGAGTACCTACTGTACGAGACTATCACTATTTTACAAATACTACAGACCTATATTATTAATTATGTGCCTTAATGTAATTGATTTTTAAATCATCCACAGTTTCCACTGGAATAGTGATGTTTATAAGCCAACAATCTACATGATCGGCAGAGAATCATTGGCGTCCTGTATTTAATGTGTATGACAAAGAGAGAGAGAGAGAAACACGCATATGCAAGTGCCTGCCCAACTCTAATGACACATCGTTGTTGCCAAGTATCTATGGTTCTTAAGCGACAGTTGAGAAAAATGCTCTACAAAAATAGCTATACGCTGAGAACCAAATTTCTCTGACGGCTTGAGCTCAATGTGTACGAGAGAGAAGCGCGAGAAGTGTGTATCAACACATGTTATAAAGAGATAGAAGCCGGCGGAAAAGCGAAGGTCATCACTATATTGCCTAGCAACGGTAACCCAAAAGGTCGTGCAGTCTGCAGCGTTGCCAATATGTTACACCAAAAAATGTTCGCACAGGCTTCTTCAATAGGTTAGGGTACTATCAAACTCAAGATGGATTCCTGTTCGAACACTCTATTTAATTAGTTTTGTTTTCATTTTGATTAAAATAATTTATTTCAGTTTGCTCGCTCAAAATAAAACTATTATTTGGGTGCATGGAATAAACTAACACATATTTTCAACATGCATCTTAATTCAAGGAACTAGTGTAACAAATTGGCAACGCGGCAGATTGCCGCGTCAGCGTTGCTAGGCAGCGCGGTGATAAGGTTCGCTATCCAGCCCGCTTGTCTTTCTAACATATGTGTCTAATCACACTTCTCTCTCGTACACATTGAACTCAACCCGTCGGACCAATTTGGTTTTCAGTGTATAAGGGAGTTAAATAATTATTTGCCGATCCTGTAGGTTCAGTACAAAGAAGAAGAGCAGATCATGAACCTCGAACATTCTAATAATTTCGAATTATTTTCGCGTCGTAACAAAATGTAGCGAGACGTCATAAGTTTATACACTTTCTACCTTCAGACTGTGAACCTTTCGTTATTATAGAAGTAGATGTTAAATAATTGTATATGTCCGATGCCACCAAACTGTATAGTTTCCTGCTATAGCGTTAGGCGGACTACTCGTAGGTGACACACCTCTTTGCACACTACCTACCTTTTTGCTCACTTGGTTTCCATTATGTCTCCAATGACTAGACTTAAATTATATTGATGATTACAAAAAAGCATGGAACAAGGTTGTATACAGTTCGATATGATTACAGAGAAAGCAAACAGATACTATTCAACCTGTCTTTAGTTTCTGCAACTTTGGTATAGTACCTTAAAGCTATTAGCATGGTGAGTAACATACTTAGGTACTAAAATGAAAGAGAGTACATCATATTTCATTGTTGAAATACGATGTGTTGGGCTACTGTCTTTCATTTTGGTACCCGACTATAGTACTACCCTAACTAGACATATTGGCCCGAAGGATTTTCGTCCGCTTACCCTTTCACCTTTTGTGCTTAAGACATTGGAAATCATAGTTGACAAAAGTTTGAGGGATGGCCCGCTGCAGAGGTGTGTCATTCATTCCAATCAGTTTGCACACTAACCTGGAAAATCGACTGATCTAGCTCGAGGCTACCCACAGGGCGGAGTTCTGTCACCCCTACTGTGGTGCCTCATGGTGAACGAACTCCTCGTTAGGCTCAGCAGTGCGGGTGTCTAGGTTCAAGCCTATGCTGACGACTTAAGCTTAGTAGTTAGGGGTCTTTTTTGTAGAACAGTCTTCGAGATTATGCAGGGCGCTCTGTGGAATCGTGGTGTAGGGAAGTCGATCTTTCTGTCAACGCTGGAAAGACCGAGCTGATCCTATTCACTATAGTAAAATACCAAAATTGATGACAGTAGCAAAACTCATCGTACGCCACTGCTATTACGCGGAGGCCTTCGAAAATGCGGCGCTTCTTTCTGAAATGTCGGTAAACGTCGCTGTAATCAAAAGGTACAGCGTCCAAGCAGTGACGCACGATGTCTTCTGCTACTGTCATCAATTCTGGTATTTTTCAGTAAAACATGTAGGAAGTATCCGGGACTGCAGACTGAACTGGAGAGAGCATGTCGAGTACAAGCTTAACAAAGCTCGTAATGCAATGTGGGCTTACAGACGTGTTGTCCGTGTAAGGTGGGGGCTTAAACCCAAAGTGGTACACTGGCTCTACACAACGCTAGTACCTCCAACTCTCTTGTACGACTCCCTGGTTTGGTGGCCTTAATAAAATTCAGAGTTTAGCATTACAAGCGCGGTGCGGTTGAATCCTGTCAAGGGTCATACTTCCATCTTAGTAGAACTACAAAGGGAGGATCCCGTCCTTCTGAGCAGGGGTGATCTAATTATCCCTAAATATCGCTTCAACCGCAAGTTTAATGTGGAGTATCCAACGAGGGAGGAGTGGGAAGCCTGAGCCGGAGGCTCTCCGGAGTGATTGGGCCGGTCTGGTATACGGACAGCTCGATCAGCAAAGGGGGCTCTGCCGCCAGAGTCTCTGGGCCTAGAACTAGGCTATTTCTGCCTCTTGGTGGATACACCACTATTTTCCAGGCTGACATCTTTGCGATTCTGGCTTGTGTATCCCTCGTTTTGTGAGGATCTGAGCTACTACAGGCATACTATACTGGGGTCTATGCCTTTAGACCCCCAGGACGTTAAGGAGCTTGAACTCAAGGCCATACTCAACTTCGCTAGAATGGCAAGGCTTGAGATCTGAAGAATGTAGAGGGGCACAAGGGCTTGTTTAAGCGTCCTTTGCGCTGCCTCCTTATGGTGGCCGGTATGCCTCTAAATTCATGATTCATTCATTTATTGTTCTGCAGAGATCGAAAGCAAACAGATCCTATTCAGCTCTACTGCATAGTACCTCGAGCAGGAAGTACCGTGGATTAATAGTTCCATAACAATGTATTGTTGATTTTCCAAGGTGCAAGCGAATAAGGGGGCGATAAACTGCAACAATCGTGAAAAATATAGACAAATTATCTACACCAGCTAAGTGCTGTCATGAAGAAAATGCTCCATTATGTTTAGGAGACACCTTATAGAAAATCTAATAACATGAAATTTTCTGGAGGTTGGCTATACCAGATACAACATCTATTTATAATATAAAGTAGTCTAAATATTCTTAGATACATCTAGTAATATTATCGCCAACTTGACACAGGTCTGTAGTATATTTGCTAAACTAGTTGTAGTGAACATTCTTTGTCACACTTTTGCACTTTCGCACCTACGCATTTTTTAGACAGAGAAACTGGCCTTGGTTCAGATTTCGTTTTATTTCAGGATTTGCGTATATTCGAGTTGATTGGGGTCCCTTAGCAAATTTTGCACTGTTGTACAATCTTTGCAATGTGAAAATTGAGTTGTTGAGATCAGGTCAACAGAACTAAGATTTGAAAAACACTCTTGAACAGATCAAGTAAACTAGTTTTATATTTTAGGATGTGAGGAAGTCTCTTGAGGGATAATACGAAGTTTATATGATTGTTTTTCTTAGTTATTTTGATCCAATCCTTCAACTACTCAATGAATGAATCCTTGCATGAGTTTGATAAGCAGAAGAAGGCTAAGACTTATTTTTTATCTGTTAGGTATGAGAATATGGTGCCTTCCTGTACATAACTCAAAGATGCAATAACTGATAGAAATAATATCCGTTATTTTCTATGACTGCTACATCTAGAAAAATAGCTGGTGAGTATTTCAAATATATTCAATCACTCAATAATAGCACCAAGCAGGATTTCCTCATATCCTAATAGGCACACATCCCATAATATTCTATCTATCTCAATAAACCCATTGCCCAACAAAGCAAAGTTAGTTTGTTAATGTTAATAAATTTAGGTTTTTTGGAATAATTTTCACTTACAAATACATGTTAACAACGGTGAAGTATATTAAGTTGACCAAGTTACCACGAAAACGTCTTGGGAGTTTCTTAAGGAAATCTGAAAGATACTACCTCTTTAGATACACTTGTTACCCAAGACATTTCACTTGTAATGTATACAGCCTAAGACTAACAATACACATCATAATTGTCGCCAGGTTGTTTTTTGTTGAGATGTCAATCGAAAGAAAATACCTTTCAAGGTAAAATACATGAGTTTGCGGCATGCTGTCGATAAGCAACCTAAGCTTAACACATGCCTGTGAAATAAACATGGACACCAGCAGGATTTTTTTCAAGAGGGTCGATTAGACATAAGCAAGAGGAAACTTTGTGTATATCATAATTATGGATCAGCCCCCAAAAATTTTTGAAGAGTGGGGGTAGCAAAATTTCTCAAAAAGGTGCAAATCTTAAATATGGTATGCTAAACATGTCATTTTAGGAGGCAGTCAGATTGACAGAGGGTACGACCCTCCACTTCTCTGCATTTGGACCATGGGTTTATCGGGGTAGATAAAGTGTTAAGCTGGGAATATGAATTTTGTGATACGTTAAACATGATGGGTAAGAAAAACCTTCACTACAATTCCATCAAGTTGATATGAAATTAGAACCAAGGTCAATAATCTTAGCAATTCAAGTGTTTTTTATAGAGAGTGTCTGCCAAGGGTTGGGGAATCTCAAAACTAGAGATACTACTACTGGAGAGACCTAAACATACCTTAGTCCAAAAGTTGATAGTTTGCGAAATACAGGGTGAAAGTTACAATTTTATTTTCTATTTTTCCTTATTGCTTGGGAAGTATTACAGATTTTGGCATAAAACTCGGTATCCGGAGGTTTTTTAGTATGAGAAACAAGAATCCGTTATTTTTTATGACCAAACTTCTAAAGGGCGCCACTTACAGCACTATTTCGGTAAATGACTTTTTTGTGCTTCACTGTATACAACAAGTGACCGAAAAATCTTATTTTACCGTATTTCCACAACAAAAAAGGTTTACTTGCATTATTTGTACCATGATGATACCATGATTTTTAAAACATAATAAAGTTGCTTTGGATAATATCTGAGTATCGTTCCTATGGTTTCTAATATTTGTCATAATATTGCTTTAAACTTCAGGAATAATTTTAAGTTGACAATAAGATCTTAAACATCATGGAGTATACGTTTGATGAATATTCTGATATGCATTTAATGTACGGATTGGCAAGATGTAATGCTTCAAAAGCACGAAGATTGTACGCTGACAGATTCCCTAATAGACACCTGCTTAATTCAAAGACTTTCCAACCAGTGGATCAGCGGTTACGAGAAACTGGTAATAAATGATTATAGCCTTATTTTGAGTAGTAAAAACCATTTGGATTTTAGGTAGTTTTGCTCAAAGTATGGGGCGACATAGTGGAGCTCTCAGAACTATACGTACAGCTGAAGTTGAAGAAAATGTTTTAGATGCTAGGCTGTCTTTGAAAATCCTACAGTTGGGGTTTGGAATGTAGCCTGATAATTTCAAGTTTCCGAATGTACAGTAAATACCATTTTTCAAGAGCAACTGCTCCATGCTTACCACCTGCAAAAGGTACATGGTTTAAGCGCGAGTGATGACCCCACAAGGGTAGAATTTTTACATGGCTCTTAAGGAAGTTTAAGCACGACAGTGGTTTTACTTCGTTAATATTATTTTCGGACGAAGCAGGTTTTGGAAGGGATGGACCCATTAACTCGCATAATCTTCACATTTATGCAGACGAAAATCATCATGCAATAATACAAACCCGCCACCAAGGACAATTTCAAATTAATTTATGGGCAGGAATAATTGGACAATATTTAATACGATCCGTTGAGTTAGCACCTAGACTAAATGGCCAAAGTATTTTAATTTGTTGAAGAACAATTACCCACTCTGCTGGAAGATCTTCCATTACAAACACGCATCAATATGTGTTTTATGCACAACGGCGCTCCACATGTATCGTGGCCGGCTAGATCACCAGATTGAAATCCTATGAATTTCTTCTTCTGGGGTGATTTAAAACGACGCGTTTACAGTACTAAAGTGGAAACTGTAGATGATCTTCGGCAAAGAATTTTCCACCATAACCAGGAAATGAAAAATAACATCCAAATGCTTTGGAGAGTGCAGCAAGGACTAGTTCGTCGAGCTCGAGAGTGTGTTAGGCAAGGTGATGCTCATTTTGAACAATTTTTGTAATTATTTCCGTTTATTAGTTTTGTTGCCATCCTCATTTGTTATTATTAAAAGCTCTAGCAACGCTATTCAGATATTATCCAAAGCAACTTATTCTGTTATAAAAATGTTTTATCATCATGGTACAAATGATGCATTGGAACTTTTAAAAACAAATGTCTCGAAAACTATTAGCTTTAGACACTTCTAACAAGTAAACCTTTTTTGTTGTGGAAATATGAGAGAATAAGATTTTTCGATTAGTTTTTGTATACAGGATAGCACAAAACAGTTATAAGTTATTTACCGAAATAGTACTGTAAGTGCGCCCTCTAGAAGTTTGGCCATAAGAAATAACGGATTCTTGTTTCTCATTCTAAAAAACCTCCCGATACCGAGCTTTATGCCAAAATCTGAAATACTTCTCAAGCAATAAGGAAAAATAGAAAATAAAATTGTAACTTTGACACCCTCTATCTCGTAAACTATCAACTTTTGGACTAAGGTATGGTCAGGTCAATTCACATTCCCCTACTGAGTGGGGCCGTGGCAAATGCTTGCTCCGGAAGTTGTTGTATCCAGTATACAACTTCTTCCCGTTCAAGTGATTGTCTACGCGTTAAGAAATACCTCAGTACCGATTGACGGGTGGCGGTACAAGTCCGCCAGCGGGCCACTTTAGGTCTATTTAACATCACTAACACGTAAAAAGAAGGTGGTAGACAAGCACCAGTCGACCGAGGCAGCACCACCCGCTAGCTTTTCCCAGGGTGTCTTATAAATGTCCATATGTTTCCACACCTAAGCTATGTAGTCGGTTATCTTCCAAAACAAAGGAATTAATGATGCTGGATCCCTCGAGCACTAAGAACTCCGGACGTAAACTCACTCCACTCTCGGAATGTCCGGATGGAGGGTGGTCTCGAGGGAACAACATCGAAGATAAAATTTGTTTTTCGAACATCTGCGGTATTAACAGCAACATTGATGCTGTCCATCACTACTTGCAATCCAATCGTCCCGCCGTGCTTTTCTTGGCGGACACAAAAATCTCAGAGTCTGCACCGATTAACCATCTTAACTTCCCAAACAACGAGGTGCACTCCAATCTGAGAAAGAACGGGGGAGTTGTGGCTTTTGTCCGCAGCAGTCTTTCCTGCTCCAGACATTCTGTGGCTTCGCCTCAACTCCAAAACATCACCCAAATTTATTTGCTGCCTTTATAGCTCTCCCTCTGACCATAACTGGGATGACCTACTCGAATACCTCACCGTCCAGATCGACTTCCTGAACATCAATCATCCCGCTTCAAAGGTAGTTCTTCTCGGTGATTTCAATGCCCATAATGAGCTTTGGTTGGGCTCAAACAAGACCGACGCAGCAGGTCGTGCAGTCGAAACGTTCGCTCTTACCCAAGGGCTGACTCAGCTGGTGACGAGCCCTACTTTTTTCCCCCGCATCTCGTCACACGCCAGTAGCCTGCTGGATCTCTTTCTGACCACGCATCGTGTCCCTTACAGCACTGCTGTCCTGTCCCCCCTGGGTAACTCCAAACATGATGTTGTTGAGGTTAGGTTTCGGTCAGAACCCGCTGTGGCAACAGAAACTCGTACAGGCCGCAAAACTTGGCATTACGGACATGCCGACTGGGAGGGGCTCAGAGATTTCTTCTCTAGCTTTCCTTGGAGAGATGTCTGTTTCACTGACGCGGATGCGTCGGCTGTTTGTTCTTCGATAACCGAAATTATCCACGTCAGCACGATATAAAAGTTAGGCACAGGATAATGTTGCAGCGCAATGGCAGTCCGTCTTTCTGGACGCTGGCCAAGCAGATTGAACTTGTACACAGTAGCCTTCCACCACTTACGTGTCAGGATGGAACTATTGTATTCAACAATGCGGAAGTGCTAGCCAAGGTCTTTGCTGCCAACTCCACGATGGACGTCCCCCCCAACGCCCAAGTGCCGTCAATTCAAAGGGTTCCCTACACAATGCGGGAGGTAACATTCAGGCATAAGACCGTACGACGAGTACTCTTGTCGCTCGACATCAACAAATCTTCTGGTCCGGACTTGATTCCTGCCATTGTACTGAAGAGGTGTGCACCGGAGCTTGCTCCAGTTCTTTCGCGTATCTTCCAGATATCTTATGAATGCGACACCTTCCCAAAAAACTGGAAATTTGCTCATGTCCAACCCATCCCAAAAAAGGGATTTAAGACCGACCCTTATAACTACAGGCCTATAGCTCTGCTTTCTGTTTTAAGTAAGGTGATGGAGGTGCATAAATCGCGAGCTTCTGGACTACCTCGAACGGCTTGATTAGCGACAAGCAGTATGGTTTCCAGCACCAACGACCCACAGGGGACCTCCTAGCTTACGTCACCCAATTGTGGAGTAAACTCATCCAGTCTTATGGTGAGGCTAATGTCGTTGCTCTTGACATCACGAAAGCGTTCGATTAGCTGTGGCACGCTGCCCTCTTAAGCAAACTTCCATCCTATGGCCTCCCAGAAAAGCTTTGCAGATGGGTGGCTGACTTTATCTCTGGCCGCAAGATATCCGTCGTAATCATCCCACAACGTCAACGCGGGTGTTCCCCAGGGATCGGTCTTGGCTCCGACACTGTTTCTCTTACATATCAACGACCTCCTTTCCTGCACGATTAACCCAATCCACAGCTTCGCTGATGACAGCACTCTACATGCAGGAATTCAGAGTGACAAGCCGATCTCTGCCGCTGAGTTGGAAAAACGAAGACTAGCGATGACTTCCTCTCTGACAAGAGACCTGGGGGCTATCACTGCTTGGGGACGCAACAGTCTTGTACAGTTCAATGCTTCCAAAACGCAGTACTGTACTTTGACGAACAAAAAGCGTTCCTGCGCTCACCCGTTTCGGCTGGTT